ATTTTCTTTGGGATTTTATAAAACTTTGTACATGTTTATAGTAGAAGGAGGATCCAAACTATTAGAAACCGTAGCAAAAAATTTAAAAACGTTCATCGATACTCATTAATAAACTTGGCCCTAAATACCAGAAACCTAGCTAAAAGGCACTCGCCTTAACCGAAGCGAAATGATATCGTACGACATACGATAACCGGAAACGTATTCACGGCAAGCAGCAACGAGGATGAGGTGACGTTTAACGGAGACCTCCATTACGTTCGGCGAACTTACAAGCCTGTGCCTGGCAAACAGGTTGCACTGGGATTTCCGTGTTTGCGTCGATGCAAATGTGCCCGCTTCTCTCTTCCTTTCGTACTTTGAAACAGCCTTCCACCGCTGCCACCGTATCACTTTGTTTGTCTTAGCTCCGAAGCTTTGATACACTTTCCAGCAGGTGAACACACCCCCGACGTGCTACCGTGTGTGTTCACCCGAGCGTACAGAGCGCGCTGTATCGGGCGCTTCTTATCTCGAACGCCGCGGATAAGCGCCTTATTGTTCTCGCACGCTATCAGCAAACGGTTAGGTGGCGGTAGGTTATCGTTCGCGTTGCTCCGCAAAGAGCGAGACGGAGATTTTAAATTCTCTGAAAGTTGAGACTCCTCCATTCTCTCGTCTTCGTCGATGGCCAGGACTCGCCAAGTTTGCGAGTTTATCTGGAATTTTTGTTTCTCGACAGTTTCATTCCATTTTTTGTTTCTTTCTCAGGAGCTTTTTCTTTTCCGTCCGATGATAGCTCGTGAAAATGAAGTAGGTACTTCACAGGGTGAATTTGATACAACGTTGTTTTGCTTTCAACAAGTTTTTTTTTCAAACGAGTTAATTAGAATTTTCCAGATTCGTCTGAATAAATTTCTACGTTTTTATCATTTCTTTGAACAAATTTTTCTTAATACAATGGATACAGATTTGTAATTTTATATTAATTTAAACTTTGCGAGAGTTTCTGTAAGCGCAGGATTAATAAACTTCTGAGCTTGTGTGTACGATACATAAAAGTAATTAAAGCTAATAGTCTAACAGTACGACTCTCCAATGTTGGTACAACGGTCGGTCATGGAGCATTAACCTTGTGAAAATGGACCTGGGAAGGATTCCAAAAATTATATCCACGCTTTTGCCAGGAGAACCGAGAAAGGAGAATTTTTCGGCACAAACAGAACCCAAATTAACAAACGAAAGTCCCATCCTGCATGTCTCTGAAGTACGTTAATTTTTTTTAGCGTGTTGCCGTAAAAGCAAACGTACAAACAGAATTAATTATATAGGAAAATTATTTTAGGAAAACTTCCAACTCAATTCATGCGCCTGCTCATCTAATAATCCTTTAACAACGAAATGTTAGCAGTCTCTTTAGAACAGAATATTTTCTACGAATTCAAACATTTCACACAGATGACAAATCTAATACTGGAATGATTTTTCACCTTTATTATGAAAACCCGTGCTTTGAAATTATTATGTAAATACTTTATTCTTGTTACCTCATATAGAATACGGAACTTAAAATTCATATGTAATTAAAAGGCATCAAAGATTTTCTCTTATGGTAGAAACAAAATATCATTTAAGGTCTAACTCAGTTAATATTTGCACTTCATAAATGTACTTTCTACGTAATAAAACAGATAAAGATTGCCACGCGTCCACCTTCCCCAAGACATAAAAAGACAGGTTTCATGAAACCAATTCTTTATGAACTAACGATAGCGAGACCGACTTCCCACTTTGAGTTCATATTTCACACCTACCTATATACCCGATGACAAAAGAACGTGCCAGCATTTGAAGCGACCTTTTCATATCTAACTTTTTATAGATGTTATCTGCTTTCCATTTTCTTTACACAAGCAAATACTCTCAACAAGGTGAAAGTTATAAAAGAACTGTCATGCGTAATGTACGAATTTAAGTAGTATGAGTGTAATAATTGGTCGTTTCAATTTGCGATCGATGCTTTTAATGGCCGGCTTTGTGCCTAATTAATATTCGATTTTAATTTCGTTCGCGATTCTGAAATGAGCACATCGTGAATACCATCGATTCCATATCTCGTTTTATAAGATCGCGTGCAAAATTTATAGGATTCTGCATAATAAATATCATTTTGAGATTAGAATGCGAAATTTCGAAATGACAAAGGAATCCAATTAAATTATAAAATAATTTTTACTTTTAAAAAGTACGCGATAGCTTAAACTCGTTCCGTTCTCCTTTTTCGCAACTTCGCGATACATTGATCACCTCGCGTGGTCAAGAAAAATTTAGAATAGTCGGCGTTTCAATTTCTGAAGGATTCAATATTGGCCAAACGAGCACAACGCTCCCGGCTGTTTCTCTCCGCGGTTTCAACTTCGAGGTGGAACGCAAATAGAGTATGTAACTGAATTATAATTTCGACCGGTTTAGGGGATGCGAGAGAGACCTTGAATAACGTTGCGCGTTATACCGGCTCCAACTTTGTTTGAGTTTCTAAGTTCCTGGACGTGGATACGTACAGTATGGAGATTCGTTCCGAAATTCCAAACAATTTTTTTAATCCGAGTTAATGTTTAACTTCTTCATGCACACTTTTTATTATCAGAATACTTTTATAATTCGAACAATTTTTACATGTTCACCAGAATTTCGTTATAAATATTCAGAGAAGAAGAAACCAATGTTAATGTGCATTTCCTTCAATTAATTGTATTTGCAAAAATAGGAATTTGTTTAAATATATAGCATTAGAAAAAGAAAAGAATCAGAGGTGTGAGGCGACGTTAAAAATGAAACAAGACATTTCATACGTGAAGTAAGTAAATGTTCGTATGATAAAAATTTTAATTGCGCGGTGAGAGGCAGAAGGGCGAAAATAGGAAGCGACGGCGATAGAGGTTCTGCGAAAGGGTTGAGGACCTGAGGGTTAACCAGGAATGGCAGAGGATTCGCGAGTCGGCTGGATGGCCAATATAGGTGCTAACACGGTCGAATTGTAGCTCGTTTCGGAGGTTCACGCCCGAAGAACGGGGTTAATGACAAGTCTGCTCTCGAGAGCGTTTCGAAATCGATTCGTGTTCGATGAGAATGTGCTGATTCGAAACGGAAAACTTGCAACTAACACTGACGGATAGAAAGGGGGAAAGGGTTTTTGGAAAGGGTATATCGCCCTTTGAATGAGGGGCTGGGAACCGGCGTTATTGCTACTCGCCTCGCCTCACCGAGCAATACGACGGAAGAATTATCAATATGGAACCACGGAATATTTGTTCTATTTAGTCCGCTCGTTCAATTACCAGTTAACGTGCATAGTACAGAACTGGGAGAGTATAATACTGATCCAAAGATTGTAAAATTAATGGAATCCTTATATGAGACATTGATAAAATTGATTGTGTGATGAATTTAAAAATTATACTATCAACAAAATAACCTGAAATCTTTAGTAAATAACGATGAACGTCATGCTTCTTGTCAAAGGGTTAAGGATTAATAAAAATTCGAAATAGATACTATCCGTACTCTTGACCCTTGCTTACGCACAGAAGACTGGATCCGCTGAGCGTTACCCATCTTTTACACGCTATTCCCTATACTTCACATTTTTAACTACGATACTAGTTGCTCATCTTTTAGGACCTGGGAACAAGAATTCTGCTTGCCATCCTGGATAGAATACGGGAGCGGAAAACGCAGTGTGAAAAGGCCATAAGGCTAGTGTATTAAAGAGGTCCAATCTCTTTAATATCGACCCGGAGATCGGTACCGAGGGGATCCGAGTAGAAATACAACTGACGATTCAATTTCGCGGTGAAAAATCGGAACGCTTTATTATCGGGACCGATTCTGGTCTGAAACGATAAAAGTCGCCGGAGAAATCAACTTTCCAATAAATAGAGAATTCACTCGCCGCTGTGGGTTACCTGGACTACCGTTTACACTTGCTCAACAATCAAACTGTCCACGAAGAAACGATCGACACCGAGACATAATAATAATTATTTCGGAGCACGAGCAATTCCACTTGTTTGTAAAAATACGAATTTAACAGATGTATGTACTGACACATTATTTTTTATCGATTGTAACACACATGAAATTTGACGAAAAATTATTGTGGAATTATTTAAGGAATTGATAACGTCGCATAAAGTCTTTTTCATCCGTCAAAAATTATACGAAACGATTTGTATAATTGCTCAGCTCGTAAAATCGATCCGATTTCCCGAAAGTGCGGAATTTATTAAATTGTAACAGTTTCAATATAATTCCCAACTTTATTGCATCCCCCATCACGTTCGCCAATCCGAATCTCGATAATTGCAACAATAATAGCGCAAATATCATTGACGATCAGTTCTGGTCGTCAGTCGTGTAATAATTGCACCATTACGAGCAACTGAGAACACGTAAACACACTGGTAAGCACAAATGAAGCTCACTGGGTAAGTTCGATCGTGTCCGTGTCATAATCGAAAACGGTGATTAAACTTCATATTGTCGACACTATTCGGCGACGTAGCGTTTGCAGAACAACCAGTTAAAAGTGTTCGTTCGACTTTACGAATGTATCACGGCGAAATGAAAGTGACATCGTCACGATTCTAAAGCGATACATACATATGCGATACATATAGGTATTTATTTCCGGCAATGTCAAGCATGGTGCATACGGATTTTGAATCGATTCTTCCATTCGATATTCTCGAACGTTTTTTTATTACGTACTGTTACCATTATTATTGGCTAACATAGTAATCGATATCAGAAAAATACATATGTGTGAACATTATTGATATCCTGTAATTATATTCACGATAACATAACTAGATTTTGAGTACAAAAAACAAGAAATAAAAGACGCGTAATAGCATTCGTAGAAGCATAGCATAGAGAAGTGTAGAATTTTGCTAATGTACGCATACGTATGTGTCACACGCCGCCACTATAACCGTAATTAGAAATGCTGTTCATCTTACCGGACGTGGCGTCGCGGGAGTGGTGGTGGCACGGGGCTGTGAAAGTTCTCCATCATCGAGTACGAGTCCCGCTCGGCGGCGGACTTGTGCTCGAGCGCCTCCAGATGGTCGAGTCGGAGCAGCTCCGGCTCGCGGGGCGAGTGCAACTCACAATGCGCGACGTGAAGCAACGGCCTCAGCGACGAACCGCCTTCGCATCGTTGCTGCCGCGAAGGCGGCCTCGCCACCTGCCTTTCTACACCATCCGCAGCGTGTTGCTCGTCGCCCCAAACCTCGAACTCCCCCGCTGCGGAGTAATCGCCGAATCCACCGTTACCCTTCACCGTTGCACCCTTGTTGCGACGATCGTCCAGAAGCACGGGCCACGGAGTGCCCCGTTGCTCCCCGTTGCCCTCGGCGATCTGTCTCGCTTCCTGCTTACGTTTATACTTCACCAGGTATTGCCGTTTTCTGCTCGGTAGCGACAACGAGAGGCCACTGCCACGGCGGCCGTCAGATTTCCGGCCCGTCAGATTTCCGGCGGATGCACTGCGCTCCGTACACAGATCCTTCCACGAGCGAGGCAGAGCGTATCTTTCGCCCTTCAGGATTCGAGCATGTCACGACCGGCTTCGATTTCGAACGAGTTCGAACGCAGTTTTCTTTTAATGAACGACGGTCCGGTAATTTTCGGATCGTTGCACTTGGACGATGATCGTTAGAGTAGTCGCATTCCACGGGGGTCGAACACGTTGTCGCTACTCGCTGCCGGCTATGGACCAAGCTAACTTGCACGCAAACTTTGTTATCGATCTGTCAATGCCAGCGAGAAAATTCAACTCCCGCGCGAGCTTCGCGAACAAGAGGTTAAGTGGACGGTACCGGTTGGTGGTCCGTCGTCGATTGGCAAACGGTCGCGTTTCGTACGTGTACAGAATACACCGCGCACGGAACAATTGTCGACGATTCCGTTAAACGATAATTGTTGACAGACGTGAGTGTACGAGAGAAACCGTTTCTTGTTTGAATTATCTCTCGAGGTTGTCCGGTTAATTTTTCGAATGTTGGTCGTATCTTTTCTCACTGCACTTCGCGATGAAAACACTGGTCGAGCTCGGCGCTCTATCACTTTTGACACTTATTCTTCACAAACTCCAAATCCAAATTGTATCGCGTTGTTTATCCTTCGACTTATCCTTCGAACAAGGAGCGCGAACAATGGCGCCCTTTTAATGACACATCACTCGTTGGACGATCCCGAGAACAGAGGCAATTTTCATCTAAGAGCAGCCAGCGCACGTCACGGATACTCTCGACATGGGCGAACTAATTGGGTCAGGGGGTTGAGAACCGCACGCAAATCCGTGCCGGTGGAGCGTGAGCAGCGTGCCCCGAAGGTCCCAGGGGTGCAGGTGAAGAGACCGTGTCGGTGTGGACCGCGTACTCGACAATTCCTCTCGTCAACTTTCGCGACTCAAGCCCCTCGCGATTATCCGCGAAACGTAATATTTCCTTTTTTTTTTCAATCGGACAACTTCGTTTGCACACCGATAACGATCGACGCGTACTCTGATTCGTGTTATAAGTAAGATATCCTGATCGCGTGATCGCTGACCTCACGAGGGATGCTCGTGACTCCGGTTCGCGTTCTTCAGCGTAGAGACGGAGAGGAGAGAGCACAGCGAAAGGTTACTGCACCATGGGTGCTCCTCGGTCTCCCCTCTTTGTCGCGCACCGTCAGTGAGAAATGAGATCTCGTCGAGAGAATTACACTGGAGGGCAAACGTACACACCCGCGCCAGCTGCGGATCAAAGACTGAAGGGCTACGGCGCCGCAACGCCCGGCACCGAGTGACACTAGTGTCCCCACCAAGTCGTTGGCGACGCTCATGCGCGGACCGAGCTTCCCTTACCCCTACCAGCAAATGTTTGTAGCGAAACTGCTGTATGAGAACGCCGCCAAGCGGGGGGTGCACTCACTACGTATTCACCCTCGCGGTGCTCTGGTCGTCGTCGTCCTCCTCGTCGTCGTCGTCGTCGTCTCGCCGCGGCTACGGTCGCGTCTACGCTTGTTTTGCGACGCGGATTCAACCAGGGTGTCGATATCCCCGCAACTTCTCGTCGCTATTGCGAAGTTTCGAAAGGGAAGGGGAGGTTCGGTGCTCATGGGACGGCGGCTGCAAAGTTTTGGGGTATATATTTTTTTCGTTTTATTTTGAGGTTGATTGGATGTTTTTGATGGAAGGAACAGGGGAAAATAGAAGGGATGATTTGGGGAAATTAAAGAACCGCGTTGATGGTAGTATAGTTATTCAACAAGTTAGGGGTAGCAGTGCTACTGGTGCGTTTATTGATTTTTATCACGAACTGCAATCATTATAAAGATTAAATTTTTATGGTCTGTGAAAAGATGATACGGTACGCTCAGAAAAGGCGAAATTGTGCGCAACATGTAACGAAATGAAGTTTTAATTTATTAATGTTCAATTACGTCGAAATATTTAGTGATGTTGAGTAAATGCATAAAATATTAACAATTTTGCGATATTGTATTATTAAATTATGTAATTTAGTGTTAAATAAACGTTCTTTATATGCATTTTCAGTTATTTCGTAATGATTAAAATTTTACGTAAAACTGATTAAAGAATTTCCAGTGTTATAAATTTATTTGTTCTGCACGATTCTTTCTGAAGTCTGCTTTTCTTTCCTATTACCTTTATTTCCAGCGTAGAATAAATTATTTCTAACTATATTAGATATCGCAATTTTTCTATGATGCTCACTTATAAGTGAAAGGAATTTTTCATCCACAATTCATAAAGTTGGACATATTGATCTTTTTTTCATTTAAAAATATTAGCATATTTTCATAACTATTATCGTCGTCGCGTTATAATAGTCGAATTATTATTTATGGAAATAAGATTACAATC